GCACAACTATTTTCTATCCACAGACCAAAAAGGTAATCTCACCCTTCTGCGGTCTACTACAAGGAGGGAAAAATTCAAACTTACTCCCCCTAGAGCCAGGTCATCTGTTCGAACAAAATTTTTCACTGTACGGGCTTTCTCGGAGTTCACCGAAATTCAGCAAAAAGTACTCGATGCCTAGCAGTATAGCCCAGCTCAAGAAAAATATGCACAAGTACTACGCTTAGGGCTATGTTATTTTTTACTTTTTATTGACCATATCTTTTTGGGGCATTGGTCATCTTCTCTATTTGCTCTTTTTCTGTCGCTTTTTTATGATGATTTTGTGACGCAGTTGTGTTGTGTTGTGTTATCTAATGTTTTATGGTTTGTTTAACCCATTCCATGTGCTCATGCGCATGCAATAAATCTAAAATTTAATTGTGGCTTACAGCTGTCAATTACGCTTTTCCCGCTCACTAATACAAATGCAGCAAGTGAATCCTATCGCGTGCTTATCACGAGCAGCTCTACAGAACGGCGCAACAGGAATGATCACATGTCAAACAATAAACAAAATGTAACTCACAAGATAGCAGAGGTTTTTTGACTTATTACCCAGAGTCGGAGGGCCTTCATCCGATCCCATAATATATGTCGCTGGAGATCCATCGGGCCATTGAAAGCGGAGTTGCAAACCAATCATCAGATTAACAAACACCGGAACAGTTCCATTTCTTCAGCGATAGCAGGTCTGCAGACACAAAGAATCAGTGAGCGCATCGTCCTTTCAATTGGTCTAATTCAACTGTTATCATGCTATCATGAGCCAAAACCGAATTAATGTTCCTGCTATGTACAGTGCGTTTCTAAAGCGTAAGTGCGCCTTTAAAAATTGTTGTTTTGGGAGGTTAGGATGAAGGATCCATGGCTCTACCTAGTTTATTGAATTCAGCATGCCTAAGACCACGCACTTCATTCCAGAAAGCATTATGGACTAGAAAATTCATAGAAAAGTTTGAAAGTGCCCCCTGTTTGATAAGCATGAGGGCACCCAATTAAGAAGATTCCACTAGTATAAATTCTTGCTCCTGTCACATGGGCGACGGACTTTTGGCTCGTCCGGTCTGGCACGCGGCAAATTGCGCGGCGAGCGGCGCGGCGATCCCGACGCATCGCGGGAATTCAACACGTCAACGTGTGAAGATTGCGGATAAAATCCGCAAGGTTCTGCAATTCGAAATACATCTGAACGGCTGGAATTTTGAGGACAGCGGTGGTTGTAACAGTAGGAAGAGATGAGAAGGAACTAGCATAGTGCTGTTCGGCAATCAGGGCGCTCATGTGCTGGGAGTTCGTTTCGAATGTTTCTCCTTGGGACATGAACGCCTCGATCAGCAGAACATATATAGTTGTTGACATTAAATACCTCAACAAAAACACCCAAATTTATTGACTCTTGTTTGCTTTGATGGTAGTAGTGACATTTACATGAAGGTCCTCACTCATCTCCTTGCGCTGAAATCTCCTCACCGATACTGCTGCTTCCAATCTCCGCGAGCGGAAAGATTTTCAAACAGCAGAACCATGCGGAGTTTATCCGCAATCTGCACACGCTTTGACGTGTTGAATTCTACCCGAAGACCCGCGAAGCCTTGTCTCGTCCAGATCGCCGCGCGTGCCGCCGCGCAACTTGCCGCGTGCCAGTCCGGACGAGCCAAAAGTCCCGCACCCCTGTCACATCACCTAATATTCTGTGGGCATGCGTAGTGAAAGCGTACTAACTCCTCAATCTGCTTGAACGAATTGAGCTTTCTATGGAGACAGTATCTAGATGATACCGTGACGTCACGCTAGCACACTGGAGTCTTCCATGGCCTTCTGCCTTGCCTACAACTCAAATCTGCCTCTTATTATCTAAACCAGTTTAGCTCCGCACGCAACCGCGCGCATCACATGGTAGGCTTTAGTGAAACTGGACAACTTGCTGAATATTAGGTCACGTGGCTGAGAAACTAACAGTAAGATGTTTGGAAGATGTGTCACATGAATTTCAAAGGCCGTCCAATTTTGCTGAAGATTGTCGCGTAATGCGCGCAGTAGCATGCGGAATGAAAATGGTACTTATCATGACTTCGTAAACATTTAGCATTGATATCGAGCTCGGATGATTTAGCGGTTTATAGAATTTCCACAATTGAAGAATCGGTGTGTAAGTGAAATATAACCAATCAATCAGCATCAACCGAGCTATGATGGAAATTGGAAATATGATTTTATTCGCTATTAGTCCAAGTCCAGATAGTGGAGCAGCTCAACTTCCTTTGCTTCTTTAGATGAAAGGGTAGGAATGGAACATATTCACGTGCTAGGAACCTGGTTTAGTTGAGTGCACGCTCAATTGTCGCTACTTTTATCAGTACAGTTGCCGCTCATACCACTTTCTGTCACCTACATTCAACCCTCGCCACCTTGATCGCTTGCCAGTGATAATTGCAACGAAGTTGGAGAGACCTGCATTCAAACGCTCTTATCATTCCTTGTCATTTGTTATCAGTTCATACTGTTCGCAATCGGTGTCCCGGTCCCAACCTCCAGGCAACGTGTAGGAGCTAATATTTACTGTCACCACGAAGGCTGCAACGAAATTAGCAGTACTCAAAATCCTAACTTCCTTATCAACCGTTATCGCTTGTTATCACTTTTGATCATCCGCTATCCGTGTTCCCGTCCCATCCCCTATACCACATGTGAGAGCCAAGGTTCCAATGTAACCGCAAGGGCCGCAACGAAACTGGTGGTATCCACACTTTGACGCCCCTTATCAGTTCTTATCAGTTGCTACCACATTCGTTCACTCAACTTCTTGGTCCCCGCCTCACCCCACATATCATACATGAGTGCAAACTCTCCACCGTCAACGCGAACGGTGTAACGAAATTGGTGACATCAACATTTCGACGTCCGTTATCAGCTCCTATCAGTAGTTATCACTTCCCGCCACCCGTCATCAGTGTTCACCTCCGGCCCCCTATATATCCTAGAAGTTTGAGCGCTCTGGGTCCAAAGGGGGTGAAGTTATGAATTTCCGGTCAGACACACACACACAACCGCTTAGCCGATTATATATAGTAGGATATTTTTGTATGAAGTCCTTTGGATTTATGGCGTGAATGGACCTTGAACACCGCTGTTTACGCGGTCTTTCTCTGACCCGAAAGCGGATAGCTCAACAACCTTCTTCGGTTGTTGGTAAACTTAGCTTGTTTGCTAAGTTGGTTTCAATGAAGGACATTTCTGCTCCGGTGTCGATCAGCACTTGAATTTTTCTAAGGTTCATTGCATTTGGGTCGACTACGGAGAAGTTCGGAAGGAACGCTTTTCGAGTCGTTGGACTCATTTCTTGAAGGCATATACACTCAGAATGGCCCTCGCACTGCATTCGTTGCTCCTCATCTTCGTGATGAACTTGGCTTGTCCTATCGTCCGCCACTATATTGACTCTAGTTGCGGTCCTTGTTTTGTGTTTTTACACCCCTTTTTTCGGTCCTTTGTGGATTTTCCTCTCTTTTCTGATGAGAATTATTTCCACTGACGCGTGACGGTGATGTCGTTGGATTCACTGCGGCCTTGAAGCAGCACGATGTGTGATGCAGGCCTTTGCAGTGGAAGCATGGTTGCCTGCGGCAATCTGCTGTTACATGGTGTGCTGATGCGCATAACTGGCACAGATTCCTTTCTCGTAGGTATTGAGCGCGTTCTTGCGGAGTCTTGTATTTTCCACACTCGGCCGGTTTGTGGTCTCCTTTGCAGTACATGCATGCTAGTGTTCGAAACTTGCGGAGTCCTCTTCTTTGGTGTGAGTTGTTCATTTCGGGTGCCGCAGTCTTCGCCGGCTTCTCTAAGTGGATTTCAACCATTTCTTCCCCGGAAAGAACGTCTTCCATTAGTCCGTTCATTGCATTTGGGTCGACTACGGAGAGTTCGCCGATGGGGAGGAATGCTTTTCGAGACCTTGGACTATCATTTCTTGAAGGCTGTACACTCAGAATGGCTCCCTCGCCCTGCATTCGTTGCTCCTCATCTTCGTGATGAAC